ATTGATAATGGTGCTGACACAGATAATGCATTCCACAACCAAGACACACCACGTCCCTATCCCGACAAATGTCGCACGAGAGACGCTCAACAATCCAGAATAGTGTATGATTCGACAATTTATGTTGACAATAACCTGAATCACCGTCCCACCATCCCACAGTTCCCACTGGGCAGCTGTACGCCCGGGTTTGTGCAAAATGCATGCAGAAATATGAGGACGGGCATTAAGGTTGTCTGGCGTCGCATAATGCATAAGAAGGTGGCGACCGTGAAATGCTAACTGTAAGACATTTATAGTAAAGCCTCCTGAGGTAGTATAATTACTATCCTCAGGAGGTAGACCATTATGGTCATACAACAACTCATTTTCAACAGCGTCAAGCTGATAAGCAATCGTAAGAAATTGGGATACAGTATAACCTTGACGCTGATAAGCTTGCAGACAAACATTCGTGGCTGTCAGGCCACAAATGTTTGGTAGATCTGCCTGCAAATCCGAATCGGCCACCGCTGGAAGGCCCGGTCTGATTTGGCGCCGTCGGCGTACCAAAGCAGGTTGTCGGTCAGACAAGGAACCAGGCAGTTTAGGATCAATACGACGCCGAGAGGAAGGGGGACTAGGAGGAGGGGAGAATGAACGAGCCTGCCGCCGTCCTAATATAGACAACGAAGATAAGGGAAGAGCTGATATATATATGGGAAATGTACTGTTGGTTTAAAGTTTAAACCACCACTACCTTTCCGGCTGGTACGCGAAGTAGTAAAAGTAACCTACTCCGAGAAAATGGCGGCCAGGCGGGCAGCGGCCATTGATGATAAATTTCATCGGCGGCACCGGGGGCAAGGTCCCACTTGCACGGATTAAGAGATTCTGGCCGTTGGTCTTTGCTATCCTATCTACGGTCAATATGGCTTAATAGTTCGTATAAGTGGGACCTAGCCCAGGGCCTTGGAAGTTTAACTTTGAGGCCCGCGGCCGATATGCGGCAAAGGTCGTGGTCCTTCAACTGGATACACAGACAAATGGCCCGCATGCGGATGACATCGCAGAGTAGTGGGACGGGTACAAATGGCCGGTAGCCCCCCAGCCCCATGTGGCTGAATGCCAGCGCATGGTACACCAGGCAATTCACACCTGTAACGAACTGCTAGTAGCAAACAGGTCAGGAGGTCGAATCCTGCTGTAATCACACACATTACAGAGCATTAGAACAGAAATTTCAGCCTAAGCTAACAGGACTTTGGGGTTTAATTATGGCATGTATGTAAGGTAGACGATGCAGTGCCCCCCCCCCCCCCAAGAAAAAAAACAGGCAAAGGAACACGACCTTACTTGCGGCTTATTGTTCCTTTGGCCTTTTTGAGGTTTGAACCCTTTTACTCTTCTTCTTCTTCTTCTTTTTTTTTCTTTTTTTTCTTTTTTCTTTTGGTTTGTCAAGGCCATAGCGGACGTGCTATTGGGAGGGGGGGTAATACGAGCAAGCAGCCTCCCCTAGTAAGCCTGTTGGTGGCCGCACCATCTATTGGTGGGGGGAGCTTCAGCTGCTGGAAACAGGGTCCAGCTACAAGAAGGCGATTCTGTGTCATTCAGCCTAAGCTTCAGGTGGGAATGTGGAATACCTATTCCTTGCTGTCTTCAACCACCCCCCCTACCTGAAGGGGATTTCATGGCGCTTGGAGGGGGCCAGGGGGGGGGGGGGGG